CGTCCCACTCTGCATCTCTCCCAGAAATCACTCTAACTACCTATAGTACCTGTTCAATAAACACCTTTCGCACACTACTTGACTCGGGCGAGAAAAGAAGAGCTAAAGAATATATCTGGAGGGGGGCCTCAGCTAGTATTAGTACGAATCGCAGCACAAATCGGACGGCATCGTGAAGGAACTTAGCAACGACACTATCAGACGGCTACACTTAGGTCAGTATCAAGTACGATAATTACTTAGACAGGAATGTTCTACCATCGCTAGCGCCTGAAGCCTCGCTAGTAGTCGCACGCATAGACTCGTTTCGTTGAGCAGGCTCATAGCCTCCAGCCAGTGAAGAAGGTGTTTCTCAAGGAAGCAGTGCGTAGCGTCTCCGTCCTCGATACTGCGCTCGCTACACTCGAGATGATCGACCCAGTAGCGGCAAGCGTACTCCAGCTCAGGTGGCAGGTTACGACTAATTGTCTCTTCGTCGATCTCTCTCTGTAAAACTCCAGGATCTAAGAGATTGCACATATCCTGTCGAAGGCCACCAGGTGTAGATATGAGCTCCAGGCAGCGAGATGCCAGCCTCTGGTGCGTACTAGTCTTCTCTACCTAGAAGCTATCGTCGTTGCATCTCTTCCTATCTAGTAGAAAGTCGCGGAACGAAGGGTGATGCAATCGCACTGGCTAGTTTGGGTCTTGTGGAACATCTACAATCGAGTGTAGCTTATATAGTGTTCGATGCACATCCTCTATAGGAACACGTAGTAGCTGAGCTAGTGAAGAAGTAGAAAGCGGCAATTGTAGAAGCACAATCGCCCTAACTATCTCTCTAATTAACGTGTACTATCTCTTCCTTTCCTGTTTCCTGTATCTGCGAACAGGGCTCCTAAGCACTGTAAGGTATATGCTGTCTAATCGCTGTTCGGGCAGAATCTCGAAGTGCTTATCTGTGCTAGAGTCGCTAGATGAGCTGTCGTTTGCTGAACTGCTGTCTATAGAGGAGCTGTCCTTAAGAACAGCACGTAGTTGGTTAGCAGCGAACGGCCCGCCTTCTTGGATGAAGCGACAGGTAGTAGTAGCCTAGATAAACAGGCCGCACGCACTCTGCACTAACTGTCTAATGGTCTCTACACCTGGCCAACCGTCCGCCTGATTACATTCTTCTGCGATGATCCTAAGATAATGCTGCAGAAAGAGTCCTATGTCGTGGTTAATGATCGACGCCGAGATGTTGTGCAGCACGACATCCTTGTGTTCCGAGTCCGCTATCTTCCCAAACCCATGTCGGATTGGCACCTCTGGCCTGCTTGTCAGTAACACCCGCAGTCGGGCGCCTGTTAACGACGACCGCACCTCAGCTAGCAGCTGCACGATAATGCGGATGTGGCTGTCGTTGTCACACTCGTCGAGCGCATCCACAACTAGAACAAGCGAGGCTGGACAGTCACTGTCGCCAAGCTTCGACAATGGCCTAAGGGCAAGGTGCTGCCACTGGTCGCGTAGAGACTGGCTAGCAATGTCGTCGCGCTCT